TAATTGTCTCTTTTTCTCTTCTCATCAATCACAAGACTAGATATCTGTAGTTTGATAAATGTTTAGCTGTGGTAGATTCCCAGGGGCTTGCCTATTCAATGAGGCTATTCATATTTGCGCCCTGCAGCAGGCCTACAGTACATAGCCCTCACAACCCGCATCTCTGGTAACTCCTTATGATACCTGGAGAGAGTTTCGGAAGTTCTTCTACCCTCCGAGCCCGGCCTGAGGCCAGGCTCGACTTGTGATAGCTTGGTCCAACAGGTTGTTGCTTGGAGCGCTGACTTGGCTTCAAGTATCTCGGGCAGTTCGGCTTCTATAGGGATCTAGATGAAGTGTAAAGTGTGTGGACAAAGACACATTAGAGCATTGCATCTTACGACAGTGATAATATTGAGCCATTTAGAGATAAATCTAAACTCACGCTGCGTGAAATGGCTAGAATACCTAAATCTTAGCAAAATGTCATTCCATTAATGTATAATGATTAATTGTAAATGCAGAGATATTGAAATACAAAATCTCTGTAACTAGCTGATATAATAATTATAGGGTGTACAGGATAGCTGCAATTGTTAATGCAATTATCTCCGTTGAGGTCTGATAAAGACCTTTTATGCCCTCTGAAATATTTTTTTTGCGCTACCGCTCACAGGATGAGTATGTGGTGCACAATACACTATTGTGCTCCCCATACTCATGGGGCGGGGATGAGTATGGGGGTACACAATATACTATTGCGCTCCCCCCATGCTCATGGGGCGGGTGGGGGGGAGTGTCTCACAGGGACGTGTGGGTGGGAAGACTAATTATTCTGATGACTGTGGGTGGAGGGGTTAGGTCGTGACCATATAATATTTCAATGTAAACAACCACATTAAAATATACATGACATAACTTTACCCCCACACGAAGAGGCGACATTTTGTTCACGGTGTCAGATAAAAAGAACCAATTTATGTAAACACCAAGAGAGATAAACTGACATGAGAAAATTAAGAGGCGCAGCAACAAATGTAACATAGCTTTCGCACACACGTCACAAAACGGTAGTAAATTTTGGCCCACTTTCTGTTAATTACTTTTATATTACATGTGCATATAATGTATGTGTGTGTGTGTATGTATATATCGGCAGTATTATGTATTTCGGAAACTGTTTACTGTGACGTGATCACTGTGCAGTATACATAGTTACAATGTAGCTACGAATTGTTTTTACACAAGTACACTTATCAATTTACCTAGCAATTTATATATTTATTAAGTTACATAGTCTCTTTTTTTTATTTACATGAATATTTTATTTCAGACATTGGACCAAGACGGCTTTGGTTACATCTATTAAACAGTTTACAAGCATGAAAACTTCCCAGTCAACTGATGTTATTGTTATAAATAGCCTCCTGGTGCTTCGGAGCTCATTAACTGTTTAATATTTGTAAACAAAGCCGCCAAAGATTGAGAAAAGATGTACAGGTTCGTAAGTGCTTGCGTAACTGCTTCGTGAATCTGGCCATTGTAGTCGAAGGCAGTTGTGTACGAAGTGACATTTAACCGTTAACAAGAGCACCTCACTTGACCTACTTCTATCCTCAAGGGGTCATCACTTTACATTCTTAGTTGTCACACAGCTCAGTGCCTAAGATTTAAATGTAAACTATGTCAAAACTTTGGTTAAGATATGTTATCAAAATATTTATAACTTCATCTTTCCATTTAAGCAACGGTGACTTGGCACATCTAAACCAGACAAGGTGTTTGTGACAAGCCAATCCCATTACTCTGTAACTATTTTACCGTGACCAATAAGTCCTGAGTTATCACTTACATAGAAAACTTAAGTTATACCAATTATGCTTGGTATAATTGTTCCTATATACACTCTATAGGACCGTGTCCTAATAAACATTAGGTTATCCCAGTCGCATTGTTAGAAGTGGCTTTACAAACATGTAAATCCATACCAACATATATTATGACCCATTATTACTTCGCTTTTGAAGTATTCGCGTGAACTAAAGCAGACAAGCGCAAACCAAAGTCTTCAGACCAACTTTACACTTGAGACATAAACAAGTGAAAGTAAGCATAATTCTACTGCGGTCTACATAGCGTGTCCTGACGAACGACTAAATAGCCTGGGGCTCTTAACATTAATTCTTGAGCTACGTATATAGCAACTCTTGTATGCATATATCTACTATCTAAATATCTCAATGTGCTTCTGGTAACGTTTTACAACCCTTAGCAATTTGTTTCATTATTATTTTCTAAGTACTTTTGGAACCCGCCAAAGTATTTTAAACATCTTTGAAGATGTTTGATCTCTGATCGGTTTGGATTCAAACTAGCGAAACCCTTAAGCAGTGAGCCTAATTAGATAACATGAATTTTCTCCAGCTTTGTGTTTGACAAAATAAGGACTCAGTGGGGAGATCGCATATTAAATCCAACATATAAAGTATAGCCTCTTAATTAGTGGACGATTGAGGCTTCAAATAGGAATTTTCAAAACAGAGCTAGTAATCATTTATTTAAATTAACAAAAAACCGTTTTGTATGACATTTTTTTTTAATTCAGTGTCCAAAAGGAGATGGAATTCAAATCAGAACTAGTCTGCACTGCAAAGTATGAGATACAATAAAGAAGATTTTTGAATGAAAAGAAGAAAAAGTGTAAGCAGTTTATAAACACTTTTCTGTCAGACGTCCAGAGGCAAATGTGCTCGTCCTTATCCGGTTAAACTATTACCAATTCGGATTCGCCAACAGCTTCCTGTATCGGGACCTGTGTTTGAGTAAGGGGAATCATTTTTTGCGTCAGTTCCGGCGCACCTGTGAAGCGAAACGTGCGCCGGCATGAGAGTTGGACACCAGCCGTATCCCTGTTGCTATTGCATTTGCTAAGAAGGCCATGCGTGTGTTAATATGATTTTCGGGATGTAGAATCAATCTTTTTTTTTCATCAGCCATATATAAATATAATAATAATTTAATATCAAACGTTTTAATCTAGCTGTATTCATACAAACACATCAGGTTGAAGAGCGCACAAGCTGGCAAAGTGGCAAGGGGAGTTAGGGGACAAGAATTGCAACAAGAATCATAATGCGTAAATGACTAGGTAAACGGAGAATCCATGTATAGCGAGGGGTCAACAGGCAAGCGGAGAGGTTCCGCGGACCCACAGTGGCTTGGGGGGGAGTGGTTGATGAAGGTCGTGGGTGTGGAAGACATGAACATTGTTCCTCCGTAGGCTGGGATCACGCAGCTCCAACAGTATGTTAATGGCGTTGGGAGCAAACGGGGATGAAGATCCCGTAGAAGATCCCCCTAGGAACCAAGAAGATCCTCTAGGACAAGCTGGTTTATCCCGTAGAAGATCCCCCTAGGAACCAAGAAGATCCTCTAGGACAAGATGGTTTATCCCGTAGAAGATCCCCCTAGGAACCAAGAAGATCCTCTAGGACAAGCTGGTTTATCCCGTAGAAGATCCCCCTAGGAAACAAGAAGATCCTCTAGGACAAGATGGTTTATCCCGTAGAAGATCCCCCTAGGAACCAAGAAGATCCTCTAGGACAAGATGGTTTATCCCGTAGAAGATCCCCCTAGGAACCAAGAAGATCCTCTAGGACAAGCTGGTTTATCCCGTAGAAGATCCCCCTAGGAACCAAGAAGATCCTCTAGGACAAGCTGGTTTATCCCGTAGAAGATCCCCCTAGGAACCAAGAAGATCCTCTAGGACAAGATGGTTTATCCCGTAGAAGATCCCCCTAGGAACCAAGAAGATCCTCTAGGACAAGATGGTTTATCCCGTAGAAGATCCCCCTAGGAACCAAGAAGATCCTCTAGGACAAGCTGGTTTATCCCGTAGAAGATCCCCCTAGGAACCAAGAAGATCCTCTAGGACAAGCTGGTTTATCGTAATGCAACCTGCATCTGTTAGACTTTAGTAACAGGATTGCAGGTTGCATTATTTATGCAACAACATGCGGGAAAAAAACTTTATTGCTTTCTTACAGGGAAACATTAAAGTGCTTGTTCTGATATAACCATTAAAATAGTAATTTCAACAGTGTTGAATAAAGAATATTTCGTTTAAACTGATACATTGTAAACCGCCATCAGAGGTAAATGGAGGTATATATTATAATTAGGTAACCAGTTTACTTACTGACTATACCAGTATCAGGTATTTTTTACCTGAATAAACATTATTATATATTATTATATAAATATTTTGGTTGACTGAACCACTGCCTAATGATTTCAACTAAATTCCATATTATTCTGAATTCTAATCCTACATACCGTTTATTGTAAATAGTTCGATACCTGTATAATATACTGAGCTAATATAACATTGAGGTTCAGTTATGAGCCTCTCTGTAACCATGCCCTTACCGCCTACAGGATGGATATACAAATTCAATATAAATATATCAAATAAACTTGAACCTTGCGCTATCTACCTAGGCCTATTACGGATTACTTCACACAGCCATTAGTTATCGAGAAGACATTAGGCTGCGACTGGGTTTTTTTTGTTTTTATTTACATGTTTAAAAGAAAACCTGCTGCCAGTATACACAATATATATATATATATATATATATATATATATATATATATATATATATATATATATATATATATATATGACAATGTCAGACCACGGAGGAAAATGAAACAGGAAATTTCCTTAAGTACTTTCGTATATACTTTCCTTAAGGTTCCTTAAGTACTTTCGTATATACTTTCCTTAAGGTTCCTTAAGTACTTTCGTATATATTATTTTCGTGATATACACATATATATATATATATATATATATATATATATATATATATATATATATATATATATATATATATATATATATATATATATATATATATATATATATATATATATATATATATATATATATATGACAAAGACATTCTAAGTAAACTTAATAATATAACCTATTCGAAACATGATTCAGATTGGCTTACCTTTCTCAAGTTTTGTACATGATGCTTTAAGATTTCCCCAAGAACTTCCACCTTCGATTTGATAATTTCGTTCTCCAACTCGGGGCCCGCCTTAATCTTCTTTTTGCCGTAATTTAGAAATTCGTTAAATGGCGCTCGTTCGTTTTTGTACTGCGCCAGAGCCTCCGTCGGGAGCATGGAGGAGACCACCACCGTCACCAGGAGAAGAGCCAAGGGCCGCACAGGACACCTTGCCACCCCTTTCATAGTCAGTATTGCTTTCATGTTTTACCTTAAAATTCCCTAAATTACAATATTGTTTACTCTCGTTCTGTATGTCTGTTCTATCCCTCTTGCTCCTCTGTTCTTCGCGTGATTTACGTAAGAGCTTTCATTGATGACTTTATAAACAGCCTTCAGACACACCTATGATGGTTTCTATGTCATTTCAGTGGAAAATTCCAATGCCTTAAAATCACTGCCATTGCTCACACAGCATAAATACATACACCAATAACACAGTCTCACAACAGACGAGACGAGGCAGAGAGAAGCGTGCGTGTGTGGGTAGGCTAGACTATGGAGACTGAGGCGAGGGAGTCATGCCCGTGTGGCGTCGCTCAGCTGCTGCCACTAGACACTGGGTTACCATCGCTCTCTGACCCTTGACTGTGCTGACAGGCGCCTCCTGCCCGTGCTGGGCTCCCACCAGTTGCCCTGGCCTCCCAGGATTCCTAGCCGATGCTGGCCTTGCCAGGATTTGGCCGGCTTGGTCCCGCAGGTTTTTTGGTTGGCCTAGCCTCGCAGGTTTGATTTTTTTTATCGTTGCCTGCCTTCGCGAGGTCCCCCAGCCGGCCTGGCTTCGCGAGGTCCCCCAGCCGGCCTGGCCTCGCGAGGTTCCCCAGCCGGCCTGGCTTCCCGAGGTCCCCCAGTCGGCCTGGCTTCGCGAGGTCCCCCAGCCGGCCTGGCTTGGCAGGGTAACAGGCCGGCGCCTCAAGGAGCCCCCTTCATGCCGCAGCCTTGTTGGGGTCCCCGAACCAGACTGGTCTTGCAGGGTCCACATGCCGGCCTGGTCTCGCGTGGTCTCTGCCGGCCGGCCTGGCTTTGCATGGTCCTCATACCGGCTTGGCCTCGTGAAATTCGTGTTCGGCCAACACAAGGCGTCTTTGTGGCCGCATTCGCATATCCACAGACTGGAACCTTAACAACGCGTGTTTACAAATAAACACCTGCTTCTTGAATATAAACACAGTCCATAAATATACTTGCTTGAGTTTATTTGCAATTGCATGCTAATACATACAGGCGCGTGGATGTTAATAGACAGACGTACACACATTCATAACTACAGTAAAGAATGAAAGAATGCCACACATAATCAGTTGAGAGGCGGGCCCAAAGAGCCAGAGCTCAACCCCCGCAAGCATAACTAGGTGAGTACACACACACGGCTAAAAATATGTACGGTATATTAATTTTCATTTTTTTCCCGTAGGGCTGGTTACTGTGAGTGAACATACCGCCATAACAGCATGTACAACATTTCCCAGTAGGAAGAAAACCCGCTGGGTTGTTCACCCTGCCACTGAACTTACCTATCTCCAGTGAACAAACTCAAAGGTATAAACAAATTACAACCCTCAAGCTATACTTATCTGAACTATAAAAATAGGCCTTTAGTAATTTAATGAGCATCTTTTATTTATTTATTTATTATTTATTTATTTATATATATATATATATATATATATATATATATATATATATATATATATATATATATATATATATATATATATATATATATATATATATATATACAAGAAGGTACATTGGGATTGTGAGGATACATTGCATAGTAATTACATTCTTGTAAAGCCACTAGTACGCGCAGCGTTTCGGCCAGGTCCTTAATCTAAGAAAATTTTAAGTAGGCTTTACTGTAACAGTTACTCCTATTTATTAAATAGGGGGGCCATGCAATGGTGGGTAGTTACTTAGAGTTTCACCTAACGACTAAAATAAGCTAATTTTAGTTATAAAATAAGCTAATACAGACTTTATTCGTTACACCAACAACTAAGCGTTTCTTAATTTAAGCGCGTTGAAATATGATAGGCTTTTATTAAAAACTGGAGTAAAAGAGTCGAGGAGCTTGTAAGGGCTAATGTAATCTCAAGGACGTACTCATAGGATGGCTTCTCCTTATATTTTCACTCCTCTTGTACTCTATGAACCTCTATGGGTCACGCTATTTGTACTCTGTGAACCTAATTGGTCATTCCGCTTGTACTTTTGGACCTTCTATTGCTCACTCAGTTTAAGCTCTATGAAACTCAGTGGGGGACAAAGGAAAGGCCTGCCGAATTCTTGTATTAAAATAATTTTTGCATTGCTAGCCAATCGATAGAATGCATAAAGTTTTGTTATAGCAATACTCGTTTAAATCCACTATGTGCCCAATCATTTGAAATATCTCATGTCGAACATAACGTGGCTGGCACTGAAAAAAAACATCAGTAGTTCTATTCGAGTTAGTTTTATTTATCCATGGGTCTCTAAGCGAGTTTTATAATGCTACACTTATATATGTTGTGAAAGCGCTAAACAATCAGTCATTGAGGATTCTCTGTTCATTGATAGAGTTCATTATGATCTTGTATTCTTTATGTGCTGTGCTACAGCAGTAATATACCAAGAATTCCAACACATTTGAGTAGATTTAAGACAAAGTGGAATCTAGGCTAACTGTTCCATTTATTATCAGTTTATGTTAGAGATTGTTATGCAAACTAGAGATTGTTTTTGTTCATTATATTAAGTACCCCATAACCATCCCCTGGCCGGTAGTGGAAAAGGTTACAGAGGCACAAGATGGGCTCAGGAACTGACCCTCAAAATTTATTTAGCTAAGCAAGTTACAGTTTAAACTAGAGAACATTTTTTAGGGTGAAAATGCGGTTGAAGCGACTGAAGGGAAGAAGAATAGTTGTATCAGCGGAAAGCTCCAAGTCAAGTTCAAGTTCAAGTATGTTTATTGAGACAAGAAAGAAATACATCTCAAAGGGATAGAGTAGCTTAGGCTATTTCTACTCACCAACTCCAAGTCATTACGACTATATAGTACTGGGAAGGGATCAGGATAAGGATTTGGGTTGGGACGGGGGAAAAGAATGGTGCTCAACCTCTTGGACGGTCGGGGATTGAACGCCGACCTGCATGAAGCGAGACCGTCGCTCTACCGTCCAGCCCAAGTGGTTGGAGCGAGTGATGACCCCTCACTCGATAAGATGATTCCTCAGTCTCCCTGATTCTACCCCCTCTCAAGATTACCTTCGTCCCACGACGGGTCCTCTTGACGTCTTTCTTGGTACTCACCTCCCTGGCGCCACTCGTTCCGCCTTCCCTCAAAGGTGGTTTCGGCGAAGGTTTAAAGCAAAAAACAACAGTGGAAGTATTTAGTAAACAAAAGCCTGGCCTGGCAAACCCTCGCTCATCTTTCCATCTCTCACAAACGTTATGAAATTTAGTTTTGCTTGGATTCATACATGCATAGCCTGCTCTTCGCTACAGACATTAATTTGTTATGGCCTTGATAGCCTTAGTGATCATAAATTCAATATTCGCATATCAATTATATTTCCGAAATATAAGGAAATAGGTAAAGCAATATCCTCCCTGGGTTACTGCATGAAATGTGAAATAGACACACAGAAATCACAATAGAGTGATGCATCAAATGAACAAAAAATTGTTCAAGTAAATTCAGTAGCATTTCTGGTTGCAATTCTTATCCAAGTCGTAGCTCAGTTAATTAAGGCAGCGTCTAGGATGCTCTCTGACGTAGGTTCGAATCCTCGTCACGACCCTTGTGGATTTGTTTCAAGAAATAGACAGTGTACCGCCTGTGGTGAAGAGGGAGGTGGGGCTGACGCCAACACGAGCGTAGCGCCCATCCTTGCGCAGATGATAGGTTAACCCTCACGGCCACTGACCCTCGTTCTTCTCCGAAAACTTCAATATCCTTTTTTTATCAATTTCTGGGTTTTCCGGGAGTAAGCTTGTTAGTTTAGTTCATTTATTATGCGTCCCAACCTGTGGGCGGTAGTGGAAAAGATTTCAGAGGTACATAATGGACTCAGGAACCGAGTCCATTCAAGCTAGTTACAGTTTTGAAAAGTTAGATACACAGTTTAATGGATTATCATATCATCAATGGGTTCGAGAACGGTCACGAGTACAATCCCTAGCAACTTACAAATGCAATGAGCTATAGTTTCATAATATGATCTGCTTATGCACGCCACCATCCTTCCCTATCCAGTGGTGAATAGGGAAAGGTGGATAGCCTACAATCGGCGGTGGATAGCTTACAATTGGCGCTGGATAGCATACCATTACCCGCATTTACTACCTACAGTTAGCAAACTGGGGGATATACATTCTGTCTGACAGTGGTCTTTAAGGCCTATGGGCCGGTGGACGGTTATTAGGGTTACAACCCATAGCTTATACTAACCAACCAGCATGTGTACTTTAGACATAAACAAGTTCTAAAACCAAGGTAAACTCTCCATGGTGTATATACACAGAGAAGTGGAACCCACCTATGGCTGTATATATTCCCTTGCGATGATTAACAACAGTTGTAATTACTAACGTACATTACGTACGTAACATACATAATCTCTCTCTCTCAGGTAAATGCAGCGAGTGAACACACCGCCATAGCAGCATGTACAACACTCCCCAATAGGAAGAAAACCCGCTGGGTTGTTCATCCTGTCACTTGTACCCAGACACTGGGACTTGCTTGCCGAGCTATACAAATGGATGAAAGGCAATACTTAAAGAGGTATAATTAGGGTATTAATCAATCATGCATAGTATTCAAATTAGACATGTTTAGATTTAGAGGGATATTGGTAAGACATAGGTGAAACATAGCTAAGATATTTGTGAGATAGGCAAGCATTGATTTCACCGTAGTTGCAGAATTAAAAAGTAAAAAAGTGATAAGTGTGTAAATAGGACTTACCTTACATACGTGTGTAGGCCTAACCCGCCAAATACACCGAAACTACGCCGTTAGTAAAACGTTCGAACAAGTTTTAACACTTTCTAACCAGTTATAACAACCAATATAGCAAGTTGTAACAACGTTCTAATACGTCATAAACACGTTGAGCCAAGATGTAACAACTTTATTACAAGTTGTAACAAGCGGAAAATAGAGACAGTTACGGTTTGTGTTTCCCAGGGATTTTCAGTGTCCCCTGTTCCAATATCACTCTTTATAACCTTATGACGATATCGGCTTGTAACTCCCAGCAATGTTATTTAATCTTAGCACACATTCACACACACCTACGTCATGCCCCCAGAGTTGTTCAGTTCGCGTATGTGTGCCAGACGCCGCTATATAAGCATATAAGATACGCTTCATGATAACGCCCTTACCAGCTGGGTTGCCCACTACCCCATCCCCCCCTCTCGGTAAAAATAAAAAATAAAAAGCGGTAGGCGGTGTCATCTTATGTCATCTTCTATTTTTAAGAGTTTGGGGGATGTAAGGGAAACCCATCTGTTGGGTGAGTAGGGTAGGCCGCGGGGTCCCATATATCACCCCTAGGCTTCGCGACGCCACAGGGGCTGCCTAATAATGAGGGTATATAGAGGGCAAGATACTGGAATTTGTAGGAATTAAGGGACAAGCCGGACTGCGTCTCG